GCAAAAGAGGAGTAGGCAATCCAGGTGACCACCATCTCCCCGTGCCCACTGCCCACGGTGTCAAGAGTGACAGAGGAGTGCAAGTGGAAAGCAAAGAAAGGCAGCCAGCAGCACAAGAACTGTCCCACAATGAGGACCAAGGTGAGGAAGGCCTTGTTGCTTCCCAAGAAGTGATCTGGGATCAGTCTGGGCAGTGACAGGATCCTGGCAGCGATGATGGTGACTTGGCTGGCGATGGAGTCGCATCTGTGTCTGGGTGCAACTGCCTGTGCCGGCACAGGCGCCTGCTGTAGGGACGCAATCCGGGCCACACGGTAGACACTGGAGTAGACAGCAAGGATGATGATGGTGGGCAGAACAAAGCAGGCAATGGTGAAGAGGATCACAAAAACCTTCTTGTGGGCCCCAGGGCTCCAGTAGATTGTGCAGCGGCTGGCGCTGGTGGCCCCATTACCTTGAGGCCATCCAACCAGTGCCAAGACAGTGATGAGAACAGACTTGATCCAAATGAAGATCATTCCAGCCACTGCCAGCCTGATGGTCATCTTGACCTCATACCTCAAGGGGTGGACGATGTAGTAGTAACGCTCCACACTGATGACGGAGATGGTGAGAATGGAGGCACTGATAAAGCAGATATTGAGGAATATCAAGGCCTGGCACTCAGCAATGCTGTAGATTACCCTGTTGAAGCAGGAGGAGCTGGAGATGATCCCCAGGGGCATGAGGAAAATGGCAGAGAGGAGGTCGACCACGCAGAGGTGGCAGACAAAGATGAACTTCTTGAGAAGGGGGGTTTTGAGAATGACGACCATGACCACAAGGTTGCCCACCAGGGCAGCGAGTGTGAGCAGGACCATGCAGAAGAGGCCCAGCACCTCCTGGGCGATGGAGTGCTCAGGGACAGAGAGCAGCTCTAGGCTGTTTGTGGTGTTTGGCCCCATTTGGCTTGCCATCCCCTTCAAGGGCTAAACCAGCAGCTGCAGTGCCTAGGTAGCAAGGGCTCTTCTCCTGCATCCCACAGAGGGAAACCCCACCGCAATCATGGCTGCTATCTTTGCCTTACCTGTTGGAGAGGGGAACAGGGTGTGAAGGAGAAGAACCAAACAGAGAAACACAGAGTACATCTCCAAGGTGCTGGAGGAAGGAGAGGAGCCAGCGAGGTCACAGCACCCTGCCTGTCCCAGAGCCAGCACTGGGGCTGTCTGCAGCCTGGCTAGGGACAGCACTGCTGGGGCCTGCAGGCACCCATGCCAGGCTGACACCTCATACCCCTGCCGCAACAGCACCAGCACATCCCAAGGAGGGACGGCACAACCTGCCTGCCCCAACCCTCTTGCTCTGGCCACAGGGGACCCCAGAGTGGGTGGGATTCAGCGCACCTTTGCTCCTGTGGGGGTGGGTGACGTTCCTCTCCTCGCTGGGGGCCCCTCTTGCCGGTGTCGCTCCCGCAGCAGAACGGGCACTGCCGGCCCTGTGTGAGGCCACGCTCCCCCTTCCCCGCTCCCGTCACCCACTCGTCATCCTGTTTGCCTGCAGCCTGCCAGCTGCGGATGGCACCAGCTGTCACTCCCGGCGCTGCCTGCACTGCCTGCACTCGTGGCAGTCCCACGGGGACAGCTGCTGGGTCCTAGCAGCCAGTGGGGGCTCAGGAGGGGGGGACTTGGGTCCTCAAGCTCTGTGCCCCCCAGAATGGCCACTCGCTGCACCGGGTCTGGTCCTTCCACAAGAACAGCTCAGCCACCAGGTTCTCAGGGCTGAGGGACAGAGCTACAGGCAGATCTGTGGCAACTCCTCTCCACTGGTGCATGGATGCTCATGGGGCATCAGGGTAACACAGCTGGGAGTTGCCCTTCTCTGGCACTCCAGGGACTCAGACATGTGCTCAAGGGGCACACATGAACATGGAGAGGGGCTTAGCATGGGCATCAGGCTGGGGTAAGGCAGCAGGCATGGCACCAACCATGGCACTAGAGGGAGGGCAGGCACTCATCCCTGGGATGGATGGATGGATGGATGGATGGATGGATGGATGGATGGATGGATGAGTTCCTCCATGCCCATGCTTGCCCTCTGTTGCTCTGATGCCACGGTGATGGGCATGATCCCTGTGCCTTGCTAAGGTGATGAGGGCAGCTGGTTCTCAAAGCCAGTAGATTTCATCTGAAGGCTGCAGCCCCTCCAGAGCCACTCACCTCCACACCTTCAGGGACACACCACCTAGCCAGGCAGGAAAGCATCAGCATCTCTCGGTACAAGGCACAGTGCTTTTATTCACAGTCTAAGCAAGCTCTGTCCCCATGCCCACCTGTTCCTTGCCAAGCCCCAGGTGGGGTGGCCAGAGAGTTCAGACCACTGTACTCTGTGCTGGTGCATGTCACCAGCTAGTGCTGGGCTGGAGCTGGGGGGTTCCTGGGCATTCTCAGAAGTGGAGCTGGACAAGGTAGCGGATCCGGCACTGACTTTCCTGGTAGATTAGGTACTCGCTCTGGCTGAAGGAGGAGTCCTTGTAGGCAGGCATGGGGATGGGCTTGCCTTGGCACACCAGCACCTTCTTTCCATCCAGCAGCACCTCCTCATCCTGTGCAGGGTCTGGACCAAAACACACACCCCCACACCATGTCAAATCGGAGATCTGGCCTCTCTCCCCCCTGCTCCATGCCCACTCCAACTCAACAGACCCCACATCCCTCCTACCCCAGGCTCACCTGGCTCTGTCTGGCCACAGGCCAGGACACTGTCATAGCCAGTAGGTGGCTGACGCAGTGTGGGGTGATCACGGGTGATGCGGTAGGGCTTGCCCAGGGCCACTTCTGTCAGGAACATGATGCCAACCTTCTTGGATGTGCAGCCCACTGCCATGGGGGAAAGGGATGGGGATGATTGCACCATCCCTGGTATTCCCATCAGGTTGTGCCCAGGCCATGCTGGGACACAGGGTCCAGTTGTCATGGCAGCAAAGGAGCTTGACATCCCCACAGCTGCCTGACAGGGGGTATGCAAAGGTGGACAGGCTCACACAGACCCTGTAGGCATCCCAAGCAGCCCTGTCCATCTCAGGACTCTCACCATAGCAGGCTGATTTGCTGTTCTCAGAGGCGAAGTAGATGCCCTTGCCCACACGCCCGCCCGAGTGGGGCATGATGCGCAGCCCACTCTTCAGGATGGCCGCGACCACTGCCACGTTGGTGCCGTGCCAAAGCAGGCGCCGGTTCTCCAGGAGGTCATGGGCTTTGAAGTGCTTGTCCTGAAGAGATGCAGAG